TCGGGAAGGTGAGCATCATAGAATGCCAATTTACTAGAAGAAAGTATTCTTGTGTTGAGGGAGTACTTGAGTGGAGGCCCAATGTAAGACTTTTCTTAAAGGGTTCCTTGTTCTTACCCTCCTAGGAAATTTCAGTTGAACCGCTTTCCTTACCTTTAATTGTTACCAAGGTTAGAGTTAACACAGTGTTGTTGTTGTTGCTGTTGCTGTTGTTGTGCGCTGACTCATCGCCACCCCAGATTCCACAGAAGGATCCCTGCCTGGTCCTGCCCTTCCTTGTTACATCGCAGCCCATTGCTGTGGGCACTGCTTCAGCCAGCGACTCTCCACCACACCCGCTGTCTTTCTCCAAGGACTGGTCCCTCTCCATCACATGTGCAGCGTGCGTGGGACACAAAGCCTCCCCGCCTCACTTCTACACAGATTTGTTTGCTCTTCTGGGAGTCCGTGGTCTATTTCATGTTCTCTGCCAGCATCGCAGGATAAAGGCATCTGTTTTTCTTTGATGTTCCTTATTCCTTGCCCTGTTTTCACTTGTACTTGTGAAAATATTTGGCTTGACTCTGGTGCACCTTCGTCTTCAAAGTGACAGCTTTGCCCGGCAGGTCTTTTGCAGGTTTACCCCATGTCAGTGTGTAACTCGATATTACTGACTGCTGCTTCCACGAGTAGTGATTTTGTACTCAAGGAAAATGAAATTCTGGGCACTTTTACCTCCATTTACCATGATGTTGCTTCTGGTCCAGTTGTGGGATTTTCCATTGCTTGTTGTCAGGTTCCCCAACGGTGGCTCTCGAGCCACATGCGGCTCGTAGGGTCTATACAGGTGGCTCTGAAGTAAAACGGAAAGAATGTGAGGGACATTTATTCAGACAGTGGTGATTTCATTTGCTTGTCAAAATATATCTACGGCCCTCGGATGTTTTTAAATCTTTCTGAGGAACCGGAGGGGCTCTTCCATCTCAGAAGTTGGCCACCCCCTGCTTTAGGTTAGCAGCTGCCATCAAGTTGGTTCCAACTCACGGCGACCCTGAGTGACCGAGCACCACCTCCTCTGTGGATTTCCGAGGCTGTAAATCTTCGACACTTAAACCTCCTCAGTAGTAGATTTGGTTTGTAAAAGAAGATTTTATGCAAGTTGACCAAGACATAAAAAGTTAAGATACAAGCTCAAAAGTAGTTTGGTGTGTACATATTAAAATTCAGAGATATGACCAAGGAAAAGCCAGCATCGATCCTTGGGGCGAGGGGGCAAGAATGCTACTTACAGGACGTTGGCAGTTAGGGATCACTGGGAATCCCTTGCTTGAGGTTTGACGTCCTCTCTCCTCTCCACATGGCCAGGAGCCACCCTTCTGTAAACATTTTACTCTTGTGCATCGTTTGTTTGTGTTAGGACTGATGGCAAAGTGGAGCCTGAGCCGGAGGTTTCCACAGAGGGAAGTGTGGGAGTTATTTGGGTGAGTGGCTGTAGGAATGTGTGGCAGTCAATCATTAACAGATGTGCTAGTGTACAGTCCTGACACGGAATTTACCGGCAATCACGTCCATCTGCAGACGAACGTGCAGCTTCCCAAGATGGACTTTTTCTTTGTGGGTTTGTGTACATTCTTTTCTGTACTGTTGTTAGATACCATCAAGTCAGTTACAACCCGTAGCAACCCTCTGCACGACAGAATGAAACCCTAATTCATAGACACTCAAATGTGTGTAAGAGAGAACTTTATATCAAAGTGTGATTGTATATTAAGAGAACATCCCAGCCCCATCCAGATCAAATCTCTAAGTCCGATATGAGTCCATCTGTCAGATACCAGTCTGTAAATTCCTCTGCACAACACATGCAATGACACCAAGTGCAGGAAGATCACAGGCCATTTGATGGAAAGTCTTGTGGATTCAGTGGAAGCATCTCAGCACTGGCATGGGTCTCCCTGTGGCTCCTCCAGCTCCAAGGCTCGGGCTGCCATCCCCATAACTCCATGTGCCTTGTCAACAGGAATGTCTCACAAGGAGACAAAGCAGAGAGTGTGTTTCTATCTGGGCTCCAGTCAGCTATTTATCTGCGTCATGCCTCCAAATGAGGTCGCCAAGCTGTGACCTGACTGACAGGCTAGACTCCACCCCTTCACAAGTTGACAGGAGATGATGTAACTGCCATATGTGCCGTCTTCACAGTTGTCCCTGTTGGGGCCCATTGTTGCAGCCACTGTGTCAGTCCGTCTCCTGAAGGGGGCCTCACTCTTTTTCTATGCCCCTCCACTTTACACAGCACAATGTCTCTCCTGACAGCATCCAAATTTCTGTATTACAACGAAGGAAGTAATGCATTCTCCAACCAGAACATTTGAAGAATGCTTTTATAAAGTCAGATAGTGACAACATTCATATTTGACAGTAGTTAAGCACCTAACATAAGCATGCAACTTAGAACTGGCCCCTGTGCCGTCCTCAGATCTCAGCATTTTATCTTGCTATCACAGAGCTAACGAAACCCTAGTTCTGCACACCCCTCAGGACTTAGATGGTCAGAGGGCTGTTCTTCCCGGCAGTGGTTGAAATAAATATTTGAATCTTCACCTCTAGGTCCATCACGTTTCACAAAATGGAGGGCTGTATAAAAGGCCGTTTAATGAAGCTTTTGAAGAAACGCCAATGCTGGTCGCCGTGCTTACGTACGTGGGCTACGGGGTGCTCACGCTCTTCGGGTACCTCCGAGATTTCCTGAGGCACTGGAGGATTGAAAAGGGCCACCACGCGACCGAAAGAGAAGAACAAAAGGTAATTGTCATCATCTTTGCGTCAGTTGGTGAAAGCCTTTTATGGATATGTCAGTACTTTCCACTCATCTCTCTCTGTCCACGTTGGGGTACATGTCATATAAAGAATTCCCTGGTGCAGTTAAATGAAAACATTCCACAAAGAAAGCCAAGAACAAGGTTAAGGGCCTAGGAAGGCTTAAGGCACTTGACATTTTGAGGAAAAGCAATCACGGTAAGAGCCCAGTGAGGTAAGCAAGCTCTCTGTCTGTTTCATGTATGTGAAATCCACAACCCCGTTCCTGCTGACACTTAGTGTCCGGGCCGGAGTCCGAACACGGGTCTGTGCGGGGCGTGCTGAGAGCCCGCCAGCCCTCTCTGTGTCTGCAACCTTTGGGAAAGATTGTGTTCTTTAGACATGTTATAGACATGTTACAAATGAGGGGGCTGCAAACGGTTCTGGAGAAATGCATCAGCCAGACCCTGGACTTCTATGAGGTTTGTGCAGCCCCCTCCCTGTTACAGTTGTGCCGTCCACACTCGGCTCCTTCTCCAGAAGTCTAACTGTGAACTGTGAGGGGGGCGAACACCTTGCTTAACAGTGGAAGGTAGTCTTGTCTTGATGGTACCGGCCTGTGGGAGGAGGCCCTCACTCCCTCCCCTCCACTCCCCCTGTGTGTTCCCAGGTGCCTTTATTCCAGCGGTACTCCACCTTCCTAAGGCTGCGACCCTTTCATTCAGTGCCTCATGTGGTGGTGAGCCCCCAACCATAAAATTATTTTCGTTGCTACTTCATCACTGTCATTTTGCTCCTGTTATGAATCAGGCAACCCCTGTGAAAGGGTCGTTCGGCCCCCAAAGGGGTCGCGACCCACAGGTTGAGAACCGCTGTTTGAGAACCTTGTACCATATTGGTGTAGCTGGTGAGCCACCAGAGCGCCTTAGAGAAGGGATGAAGCCATGAGAATTCTATTTCCCCCCATTCCTCACATATTTGTGGGGAGTGAGAAGAGGCGCACAGGTGAGGCAGTGACAGAGCCATCCCTGAAGAAAGGAGCCAGCAGATGGTGCCTAGAGAGGAACCTTCAGGGACTGGACAGTGGTCATGTGGTGGGAGGGGAATGTGCCCCTTGGAGGTTCTGTCTCAAAGGAGGTCAGTGATGAAGAAGTAGGTATGGACTGAGAATTCTCCCTCCCACCCATCCTAATGTCTGTAACAATTCCTTTTTAAAAAAATCTAATGTAAGCAAAGCACTGTATTTAGAACTGGATCCAAAGGGCCAAGCTCGTTTGCAACCTTGAACAGCAGACCAAATGTCAACTTGCTTTGATAGCTTCTTCTCTGCCCCTGCAACTAACTCTTCCCCCCCCCCTTTTCACATACCCCTCAAAAAATACTAGAGTAACACACAGTTGACCTGAATTCTAAGCCCAGCTTTTTTTTCCCCAATCGTTTTATTAGGGGCTCATACAACTCTTATCACAATCCATACACACATCAATTGTGTAAAGCACATTTGTACATTCATTGCCCTCATCATTCTCAAAACATTTGCTCTCCACTTAAGCCCCTGGCATCAGCTCCTCATTTTTTCTCCTCCCCGCTCCCCCCTCCCTCATGAACCCTTGATAATTTATAAATTATTATTTTGTCATATCTTGCCCTGTTCAACGTCTCCCTTCACCCACTTTTTTGTTGTCTGTCCCCCAGGGAGGAGGTCACATGTAGATCCTTGTAATCCGTTCCCCCTTTCCAACCCACCCTCTCTCTACCCTCCCAGTATTACTACTCACACCACTGGTCCTGAAGGGATCATCTGCCTTGGATTCCCTGTGTTTCCAGTTCCTATCTGTACCAGTGTACATCCTCTGGTCTAGCCAGACTTGCAAGATAGAATTGGGATCATGATAGTGGCGGGGGAGGAAGCATTTAGGAACTAGAGGACAGTTGTATTTTTCATCGTTGCTACATCACACCCTGACTGGCTCGTCTCCTCCCTGAGACCTTTCTGTAAGGGTATGTCCAGTGGCCTACAAGTGGGCTTTGGGTCTCCACTCCGCAGTCCCCCCCTCATTCACTATGATAAGATTTTTTGTTCTGATGATGCCTGATACCTGATCCCTTCGACACCTCATGATCGCACAGGCTGGTGTGCTTCTTCCATGTGGGCTTTGTTGCTTCTGAGCTAGATGGCTTCTTGTTTACCTTCAAGTCTTTAAGACCCCAGACGCTATATCTTTTGATAGCTGGGCACCATCAGCTTTCTTTGCCACAGTTGCTTATGCACCCATTTGTCTTCAGTGATCATATCATGAAGGTGAGCACACAATGATATGATTTTTTGTTCTTTGGTACCTGATAACTGATCCCTTTGACACCTGGTGATCATACAGGCTGGTGTGCTTCTTCCATGTTTAGCCCAGCTTTTTTAGTAGCACTTTGTATTTCAGAAATTCAGCTTGCCAACTGTGAATGACAATTTTTGTTCTAATTTATCTCAGAATTTTCTTATTTAGATTATGCTAGTATATGAGTCTATAAGAATGACATTATTAGTTGAATTTTTTCCCATTAAGATTTGAAATCACCAGTAAACACATTTGTATCACACACCATTGGTGTAATAAACACTGTTCTAGGAACTAGACATATCCAGCACTCAACTGCCATCGCGTCAGTCCTGACTCACAGTCACCCTTAGGACAGAGTAGACTTGCCTCCATGTAATTCTTTCTCCCATGGAGCGGCTGGTGGTTTCAAACTGCTGACCTTGCTGCCATGCAGCCACACTAAAAGAATCCAGAGGGACCTTTTTACTGCTGACACAGCACAAACCTGCTGTTTGATAATGTGTGTTGGGGGGTGGTAAGAGGGTCCCTTGGTGGCACACACAGTTTGAGCTTGGTTATAACGGAGAGATTAGTGGCTCAGACCCATTGCAGTGGTGCCTTGGAAAAGGCCTGCCGAGCCACTTTCATAAAATTATAGTTCTAACCAGAACTGGATGGGTCTCGTCACCACTGCCAACTACTCTGAAAGGGATCGCCTTGGAAGGTTCTGGAGGGAACGGGAGAAACACGTGGAACAAAGCTCAAAACCCTATGAGAAGCCAGACTTAGCAGTCAGGTAGACTGACCTTTAGTCACCCTGCAGGCCTGGAAATGAGCTCACCCCTGTGGTAGTTTTCAGCCCAGTAATGGGCAGGTGTGTAAGGAGAACAATAACTAGTGAGGTACGAACACCTTAGAAGAATCAGCCAGTTGAGATGCAAAGGCAGTACTTCCCCAAAGTTGAGCAAGGTTTGGGGGGAAGGAGGAATGGAAACAGCACCAGGAGGAAGTGGGGTCAGGGGATTGCAGTGATGAGATCACATCAAGTTTATATGAATTATTGAATGTGAAACCTGTAAAATGTTAATAAATCATTTTATTGGGAGCTCTTATAGCTCTTACAACAATCCATACATCAGTTGTATCAAGCATATGTGTACATTTGTTGCCATTATTATTTCCAAAACATTGTCTTTCTACTTGAGGCCTTGGTATCAGCTTCCTCTTTTGCCCCCTCCCTCCCCCGCCCTCATGAACCCTTGATAATTTAGAAATTATTTTTATTTTCATATTTTACGCCATCTACTATCTCCAGTTTCTGTTGTTCTTCCCCCCGGGGGTGGGGTGCAGGGTTGGTCAATCATTAAAATTGGTTCCCCCTTTCTCCCCCTCCTCCCCTTACCTTCCCCCTCCCTTCATGGTATCGCTACTCCCTTTATTGGTCCAGAGGGGTTTATCTGTCCTGGATTCTGAGTGTCGAGCGCTCTTATCTGTACCAGTGTAGATGTTCTGGTCTAGCCAGATTCGTAAAATAGAACTGTGGCCATGATAGTGGGAGGCAGGAAGCATTAAAGAACGAGAGGAATGTTGTGTGTGTTTTGTGCGTGCTCTACTGCTCCTTCGCTGGCTCGTCCTTCCTTGTGACTCTTCTGTGGGGGATGTTCAGTTGTCTACAGCTGGGCTTTCAGTCTCCATTCCGAACCCCCTCGTTCACATCGAAATGGTTGCTTGTTTTGGGTCTTCTTCTGCCTGATACCTGATCCCATCAACACCTTGTGATCACACGGGCTGGTGTGCTTCTTTCATGTGGGCTTTGTTGCTTCCCTGCTAGATGACCACATGTTTAACCTCAAGCCTTTAAGACCCCAGATACTATTTGTTGTAATAGCCGGGCACCATCAGTTTGCTTCACCACATTTGCTTATGCATCCATTTTGTCTCCAGTGACCTTGTCAGAAAGGTGAGCATCACAGAATGCCAGGTCATTAGAACAAAGTGTTCTTGCATTGGAGTACTTGAGTAGTGACCCAATGTCCGTCTGCTACCTTAGTACTTAACACTTACATGTAAGTACATAGACCTATATCCCTATCATTATATACTAATATATTTACACATGCACGTGCCTATGTTTATACCTCTATAAATGTCTTTTGCCTCCTAGTTCTTTCCTCTATTTCCTTTTACTTTTCTCCTGTCCCACTATCATGTTTGACTGTCATTTGGCTCTCTGTACTTCCTCTCAGCTGCATTACTTGATCAGACCCCACCGGGCATTCTATGCTCTTCTGGCCATCGATTTTAGATCTCTTGTCCCTGGGTTTGTTGGCACCCCCCACCTTTTCTCCCACCTCCCCCTCTCCCCTGACCCCCTGGAACTGTCAGTCCCATTGTATGTGAGACTCCTGTCTGGTCCATAAACCTTCACTCAGTTCACAAGAAAAAGTTGTGAAAGACTGCAGTGCTATACATTATGCATTTCGGTGCTGTACATTTCCACTCTGAGACACATGGAGTGGCCACCAGGGGGAATCGACTTGATGTCAGTGAGTGCTTTTTTCCCAGGTGGTAAGGTGGACACACTAATTGCAGCTGATCCGTTGTCCTGGCTGAGTGAGTGTGCAGCAAAGGCATGAGCAGTGTGCAGGAGAGCCGACAGGTGGATATGTAAGAATTTGTGCTTCCAGTGCC